GAATTATAGATACTTATATAAATTATAAATATTCTTAGAGAACAATACAAGGTTTAAATATTAGGAATATATTATAGAATAATTAAGAATATAAAGTATATAATCTAATAGTAATTGACTCACAGAAATGTACTTTTCTTTGAATACTTCTTAAAGTAGTATGGGGTATGTCAAACATAAAAAGTCATATCGAACAGCGAAGAGAGTAGTTTAATGTCCCTTCAGATTACGGCGTGTATTGAACAATGCTGGTAGTAACAATAAATTCGAGCATTGTCGTTGTTCGAAATCTGAACGAGCAGCGACGGGGATGTTCTCCGGCGAGGGTGGAAAAGAGAATAGGCAGTGGCGAGGGTGTAGATGTGTCGAGGGATAAAAATATACTTGCCGCAATAATCGGGGAAGCAGGGACAGAACAGGGCGGGAGAGAAAGGCGAAGCAGATAGGTGGCCCGATGGAAGTTCCGGTTGATCGAATATTTTGCATTGGCTGCCGCGGCAGGGAACACGGACGCGTCGATGAGCTCGCTGCTGTTGGGCCTGGCTGCGACGGCAACCCTTTTGGCCCTGTTTGGTGCCGGAGTCCTCGCGGCGCTCTACCGGAAGCACTCGAACGGCCGGCCCGGAAGTCCAAAGCACGCTCCCATCGTGTGCGAGCCACCTAATGCAGGTGCAACTACCCCGGTACACCCACAGACCAAGCAGGCGGTCGATGACATCGATCCGGACATCATACCCAACGAGTATGGTGAGTCTACGGGTTTCCGATTGCTCGAAACGTGCGCCAAATTACGACCTACGCGCACACAGTCCACTCGTAAAAGCGGTTATATACGTATATAAGTTCTTCTGTGTAGTTGGAGTGGCCTATTTGAATCTGTGCACGCAACTCTTCGCGAACTACTCGTTATTCATAAAAATGTTCCAAACAGAACTTGCCCCGTACAAATTTTATTCAGATGGATACGCTTTCAAGATGTCAAAGCAAACTTTATGTTTTTTCTAACGGGAAATTCGCGTGCGCGGGACCAAAAGGAATATGTATGTAACAACGCATATACATACATGTATTTATACACGCAAACGTGCGTGTTGCAGTTTTTCGTTTCATCACGAGAGAGTTTCTCTGCCATCGGTATGTCAAGGGACACTTTAATCATTTTCACTCGCCACTCACGACTTTATTGGTTGTTTAGTAATTACAAATCTTCGCCACGATCGGGTATTATGATTTATGTAGCCAAGCCTAGTCGTGCCACTGCTTTCACGCGCGTGTGGACACGCAATTCTTTGAACAGGTGTGTAATCATGGCGAATCCTATTCTTAGCTACTGTCACACACGATCAACGTAATCTTTTTATTAACTACATTATTAACGTTTCTAAGAATCGTTTGAAAAAGGTCACAAGTTCCTGACGCTTTTTATCGATTTAAAAAACTAACTATCTTTATCTTCAAACTTCATGAAACATGCGAAGCTTTGACGACGAATAACGTTATTAGATTAATTTTATTACGTTTCCCTCAGCCTTCCATTTTTATTAATAACTTTAATTATGGACAAAAGCGAAGAAGAACAAATGTGTGGTGGTAACGGAGAAAAATCAATACGAACGCGAAAACATTTTCATCTGTCTCTGTTTAAATTGTTGGGAACGTTAATGGCGAATGGCCTGGGTTCTTTCCCCATCAAAGATATTTCCGCATCGGGCACCGATGAATGCATTTCGAAACGCATTGTCAGGTTAAATTGATACGCTTCAATACACATTAACAGATCGGAAACACGATGACTCTGTCCACAATGAACAGGGATCAACGTGTGTTCATCAGACTCCTACATTATTATCTCAGCGTTAACGCGAACGAAATCGGAACCCCGCCAGCTATTGTTTAAAGTTTTGACGTTATATCGAGGAAACAAGGAAAAAATTGAACGAAATGATTCAAGATAAAAGGATTTTCTTTGTCACTTTGCCGTTTTAACTCCTATCGTTATCCCTAGTTGCAATCAATGTAAAATACGTAAAAAGATATCGGACCTCTACTCCTTTGTCCCAGTCTCCAGGCTGTCTGACATTATCGAATATAATTCTTTTGTCCCATTCCCTGTTCAACTTTTACCGTTTCACAAGATTTTTTAAATGTTTCAAATAAGAGCTTTTCATACTTTTCACATTTGAAGAAGCTCCTGTGTACAAGTTTAGAAGTCCTCCAGACATCATTAATGATCACATGTGTTATAATATTTTCATAAAGATTCTCAGTAAGAGGCAGTTAAATATTTTAATAGTGTTGAATATTTTACTGGTTAATTAAATGGAAAGCCGCTGAACGTGAATTATTTTTAACGTTAAACGAAGAAGCTGGCGCGGTTTTAACGTTTGGGTTCATCGTCCATGCAACCTCGACCGTTCTCGTCTAGATTTAATCGAGTAATCTGCTTAGGGAACGCGCTCGCGCGCGCGCGCGCGCTCAACTTCACGGGCTTCGTTTCGGATCTGTTCGCAGAGAGAAGACCGCTAACGTACACGCCGATCTATAAAACACCACCGCAACGAAGAAAGAAGGATCGCGCGGCGGACGAAGCAGTCTCGCCGGAGAAAAGGCCGATCGTACAGCAGCAGGGCTTGGACCTACCTTCTGACTCGATGTTGACCGACTGTTTGCCAACGTCGACCATAAATTATTCCCAGAACCACGTACCCCAACCGAATACTTACAGCAATCCGCCGACCATGGCTGACTTCAAACAAATGGCCATGGACGCTTACAATCAGCGAAACAACCAGAACGTGAGTCCTCTTGAGTTAATGCAAAATGTACTGTGTTAAACAATAATGGCATTGCCTGTTAATTTTATTTCGTGCCTATAACAAATCTCTGTCATTCGTACGAATTTGGGATGGAAACGCGGCGAATTGATGCAACTGCTAAAAAAGTAACTTCGTTTAAAATTCACACGGAAGTCACAGCAGAATTTGAAATTGAAAAACTGAATATTTCAGAGAAAATGAATGTGTGTTTCGCCTGGTCCTTCAAAAACTTAAGCATTAAATTTACAATCGTAACGCTAGGATTCGTTACAAATTCAGACGCACTCAATGCAAATTGAATTTTGAATTGTTAACGCTGAGCTTTCTCCAAAGCGTATCGGGGCTGCAAACTTTCTGCATTATGAATTCCAAGAGGAGAGGAAAATTAAACAGTCGAAGGATCAAAGGAACAAACGTTTCCAATATCATTCAGATTTCATTCCATTCCATCCGCTCGTTCGCATTCCGGCGGCCGAATTCTTCCGCGTGCACCGTGAAAAATAGAAAAAGCGTTGCCCAGGATGGAGATGGTCGATAGCCTGGCGGTGAAACTAATCGATCGGCCGCACCGACGCGCCATATAAATCATACCGACAATTAGCCTCGTAAACTCATTATCGTCTGTAAATTGAATCGAGGCTCTTTTTTTTAGCGATATCTAATAGAGTGTATTTAGTTGAAGCCGTTTGATTAATGAGGTGCAATTAACGCTCCACCCCGAAACGATCGCGAAAGGGGTCGGTACGGAGGGAGGGAAACGAACTGCGAAGCGAACGATCGATAAAACGTGATACAATATTCAACAGGGAAGTCGCGTTCCTTTTTTTCGCCGGCGGAAGTAATACAATCGGTCTGCCGTCGATCGCGATTTCTCTTCCTTATCACAACCGATCTCGGGCTTCCTCCTAGCTCTGGCTATCTGTCGTAACCAAATCGAGGCAAGGTTGTTTTAAATATTCGAAGTTTCGAAGGACGACCGCGGGGGACCGGTGTGGTACCGGGACACGAGCCAAGAAGAGGGATCGCTCGCTTTAATATGCGCCAGTCTTCCACTTTAACTTTTCCGGTTTAGCGAAGCCTTGGGTTATCTGCGCCTCCGCGAGTTTAATTACGTCGAAGTTTCTTCGATAATTCGAGAGGGCCAGTCCCGATGCGCGTAACTCGCCTCGAACTCGACTTCCGTTTCCCTTCGACACTGGTCGCGTTCCATTAAGTGTCTGAATAATTTTAATACCTCCTCGACAATCCACCGCCGCTGCTATCGCCATCGCCCGTCCACCCACGTCTACCATTAGCCGACCTCTTCATTAACTGACCCGATATTCCCTCTGGATGTTTTCGTTCCGCTGTTTTTGTTTTTCTCGGCATTACGTAACCCCTCCGTCTCGCCGCGCCGTGGTTTTCGATTATTTTCGTCGTCGCTCGTACAGAGCTACCCGGGTTGGCTGTTCCATTATTAATTCCGACCTCGAATTTGCAATTTTCACAAGCATCGATGCATTTGCATTCGCCGTTCTCTCTTTCGCCCTTTTATTTTCTCCTCGCTCGTTCGCTCTGTCCCTCCTTCGCTCCCATCGCGCACCCGTATCGCGAATCGAAATTTTTTCAATTCTTTCCCGAACAGACCCTGCGATACGATATAAATTCTAATCATACCTGACGAACCTAAACGTATTCTTTAACATATCCAATTATTGTATTCAAATGAAACTTCAAAAAATCGCTTGTCATGTTCAAAAGAGTTTATCACTTTTAAAATTATGCAAAATAAGTGTGTATAAAAATATAAGCAATTTATCGTCGTCACGAATTTTAATTTTTGTGTTTCTACGACTTTTACTTCAAAGCAACCAGCTCACATGTTGGCGTAATAAGAAAACGTGCAAAGGCACTTGGCAAACCAGTTAAGAAATGTACACTTATCTTTGAGATGAAAAGAATCTCTCACGATGTACGGTACATGACATTTAACTGCCACCACGTAATTTCAGTAAATGTCTACAACTTTGAAAAGTGTCGTGACAAATTAATTGTATTTAAATTCGTTATTTCAAAATTACCATCAATAGAGACTGATGGGTGTTCTGTTAAATAGCTTTATTTTACTTAATTCCTGCGTGCATAGTAGAAAAAAGTATTGGTATTTTATCGAAATCAATTAAAAGTGAATTCAATTTGGTTCATCCATATCGAAACTTGTATCTTTTAATATCTCGCGTCGCGTGGCAAACAATAGTAGCGATAACCTGATACTATCTATGACATACCTATTTTAGTTGATACTGAATCCGAGTATCATCCGATGAAAATTAAATTCCATCTTGAAATACAGAATTCTCTTAAAATATAAAATATATTTGTATAAATTGTTCCATACTAATTCATTTGCTTTTTTGAATAAGAATATTTATGCTTATGTTACTGTTTTTATTGTGGTTTAATTTTGACCAATAATGAATAAAGAAATTTAGTCCGTCATGTTTCAAGTGAAATTGTTATATTTTATGACTTTTGTATTTAAATTCTTCGTGAAGCATTCCTTTTGCCTGAGACGTGTTAGAGACCAATGGTTTTAGTCAATGGAAGAAGGGAGAAGATTTGTCGGGAGTAATTTTCTTCACGCGACGAGGAATGTGTTCGACTGATTGCAGGTGTACTACAGCCTCCAGAGGTCGAGCAAGGGGCTAACGTCAAGGCCGGTCTCATCGTCCGTCTCCGCGCAGGGAAAGTTTCATCAGCCGGAAGTAGTGACGCGCTCGAATCGAATACAGGAGAGTTGTATATAGAAAAAAATGAAGACGGTCTCGCCGAGGGAAACTCGCGTGTAACCGCGTAGACGATCGCGATGGTCGACAAAGGTGCGACATAGTGCGACGGAACGTTGCTCTCGCGAATCCCGCGGAGTCGAATTTTTCGCAAAATGAGTTGCGTCTTCCTACGGTGGACGTGCGAACTTTCGAGCGCTCTCGCTCCGAGCGTTCATTGTACAAAAAAAAAGGGAAAACGACACAAAAATAGAGAAAGAAAATCGTTGAAAAATTCGAGGTCGTGTCGTGACGGGAACGAGGACCCACGGTCGGACACGTTGCCGACTTGAGTCACGTGCGCGACGAGATTGAACGCGTGTATTGTGTGGATACATCGAGTTTGTTATTCTCGAAGTTAATGAAACGGTCGATAATTGGAAAAGAGTATGCTGGATAGGGAACCGTTCATTCTTTTTCTACATGGGGAATTTTATAATAGAGTTCGGTCACGAAACGAGGATGAGAACAGGTAACGGACTGAAGCGGCGGGACGAAGCTCGGGAAGGAGTTCTAATTTGACGGGGTAATGCCATCGAGCTGCTAAACACGTCTTGTTTGTTGCGCTGAACGAATATCGAACGGTCTTCGTTTCCGTGTTCGCGACGATCCACGGCCTCGAGATCGCAGCATTTTACTGTTTATATGAGATTAGTTTTTGTACAAAGATCTATTGTAAATAGGCGAGACAGCCTGTCCCTAGTGAATAGTCACCGATGTCCGAATTTCATTCGCTAAGAAAAAAGTCACGTGTTATATTCGGTGAAGTGGATTGTTCGGTCACGTAAGTTAAATACTCGATGGCATACGAAATAAAGAGAATACGTTTCATCTGTTTTACAGAAAGGAGCCTCGCCCACTTATCCCGTCCGAACTTCTTTCTCCCATTTCCGATTTCTCTCTTTATTAACCGTGGAGAAACCAGTGGAAATTCCGATCGCGCGTGAGCCGAATCGCGATACGATCACGTTTCTATCCTGTCAACTTATTCTACGTTTTGTACGAAGGAAATGTTATAATTAGTGCGCCGAGTGCGCACTTCCATTATGTGCTAGGAGTCTGATGAAAACTTTATTTGGGAGATACTGATAAATTAACGCTAGAACCAGTGGACGTGAAAAAAAATCAATAATTCCATTCCATCTTATTCCTATTTTTATACAGATTTATGAATTCAACGTGATTAATTAAGAGTTTTTTATAACTCTGACACAATACTTTTTATTCGCAGTTCTAGTGTTAATGATGTCCATGTTCATCCCTTTTGATTATTTTTTTACTCTAACGTCTAACGTTAATTATTTAACACTCATGTTCAGGATCATTGCAGTTTTTATGAAGATCCTTTTTTATCTACCATTACCATTGATCCCGAACGAAGCTATACGTACTATCTTATTAATTTTAAATCACGTTATTATCATTTGTATGTTAAATCGATGTTTTTTTGTGTATTATACTACTTCAATATACATTCTGCCACTCCCTTTGTATTTATTTTTTCATTATAACTTTTTCTTTCTACATTTTGATCTTGTTTATTATAGATATGATTTGGTCGAAGTATGAAATCTATCTACAATGCAGGTAAGTGTAATGACTCTTTTATATTAATTTCTACTGTGTCACATAATGTATGTAGTTGGGAATTTCGAGGGGAATTGATAGTCACAGTTAACAGATAGCGAGGTAATAGATAGGTATTACTTTTAAAGCAGGGTTGACCCGCGAGAAAGGGGTTTTGACAAGCGGGTAAGGGCGCGACCTATTGGTTGGGGCGCAATAATTCGAGCATTTCGAGGGGAGTCCCGTGGCGCGACGGTGTTTGCATACATTGTGCACCTTCGGTCTTGCTAACAGGGACTAACCCGGTACGTCGACCGACCCTATTATTCTATGTGCCAGCCGTGTCTCTGGGGCTGTTAAGACGGCCCGCTCTCCGCGCCTAACGTTCGCCTCCGTGTCTGAAACTGTCACCGGTTCCATCCATGAATACGCTATGTAATTACGACCCATCCGACCATTGTAATTCGATGATTTTGTAGCGAACACACACTCGTGATCGACGAGAGCGTCAACGCAAACACGAAATTGGATCTTGACCGTGTTCGATTAGACTGTTTCAGCGAAGATGATCGATTTGGTCGGTGTTTGATATGTTTAATGAAAGTCGATTTTCATGCTGAAGAGTTAAGTTACTCGCGTAGGTCTACGTCTCCAGTTAATTGTTTCCGGGATGAGTATAACTGTCGATCAGGGTTCGTGGAATATTAATTTACCAAAGAGTTCGTAATGGAACCTAACTTCAAGAGTTTTGATCAATGCTCTGTTCCAATATTTGATTGACAATTGTATAAATGAAAATCCTCGGATTCGATGCAGCGATGCAATTCTGTGACTGTCTGCTTAGCCAATGCTTGGTGAGGCAATTGTATTCAAAATTAACTGAAACCAGTTGATTGTAACCACTTCGACCAAATTGGTTCGCGGCGAACTGGCTCGAGCATCTACTGTCACGTACGTTACAGTGATACAATTTCTTTCCAATTGTCCACAGAATTTAATTGGATTCCAAAAATAATCAAAGTGCCTCAAAGTTTAAGGAGGGAAATACAATTTCTATATTTTTCCTATTATAACGTAAACATAAATATTTTCCATAGAAGTACGAAACTCTTATATCAAATTTCTTATAAACATGGAATTATTGTAACCCTCTCGCAGTACTTAATCATTCATGCTACTGAGCATTCGCAGAGCAACGGAGGACTCCATTAATAAGACGAAGCGTGGCAAACAATGTCTCTCTTCAACAGCATTGAATTCTATCCTTACGTCTCACTATAATAGGATGCTTACCGTTTAATAGTTTAATACGTCTGGGAATTTCCATGGGGATTGCACGAATCATTTGTGACAGCCAAACCGTAATACCGGATGCTCTATTATACCTACGCTTTTCGTTACGACGCTGTTTAAAAAGGACGCTAGCTATCTCCGGAGACGTCCTCGATGTATAGTTCGCGTGGAAGCGTCTGGCGGGCACATGAATAAACGCGCACGATAGATACGATGCAAAGTGTTCGATATTCATAAGCAGTATCGTTCGCTAATAATTAACGAGGCCTACGGTATGGACGTGGAATCGTAATCTAAATTACTGCACTTACCTACTAAACCGCCCATTAAATCTGCACAGAAACCTGTATTATTTTAAGTACAGCCTGTCGCGGTCGATACGAGTAACCTACGGTACGTACGATGCCACATAAGCATCGACTTTAGCTCGATTTGTTTCGCCTCGTTCAAATCTGCTCTACCTCTTTCCATTCACACGTTAACTTATAATCGTTATCTCTAACCTTGACACATTCCATAAACGCTGGTTTATTTCAAAGAATTTAACAAAAATTGCTGGTAATTTGATTGGTGACATACTATTTGTTAGTTGGAGAAGTTTTTCTTGTAATTGTAGACTGACAGTCTGTGTATTTCTGAGGTAGATATAGATAATGAATTCTATACTTTCAATTATCATATCGTGCTTAAGGATGTATTGGCTATACAGTCAATCCCAAAAGTTTATGCACTTTAGAAACGCATTTTTTAAAAAGAAATCAGACGTCGGAAGAAC